TCCTTTGCAAGTATGTTTGAATAAAGGACATGGCTATGGCATGTGTTCACTGTCAGGCCCAGAACAGAGGTTCATAGGATAACTTGCTGCTAATAGGACCCTTGGAATAGGTGGGGCTGCACAGCTCCTTCTGCTCTCTTCTCTTTTTGTGATGGAATCAGTTGACTTGAAGCTGAACATATGGCAACTGTTGTCATATTACAGAAACCATTCCCTCTGCCATGGCAACCAGTGAATCAATGCACACTAAGGGCTTGGGCTTACTCAATTAACACACAATGGCGTAATGTACAGGCATTTTGTTTGTTGTTTTTTAGAAACATTTAGAATAGCTGTAGATAATTAATATGTTTCTTTAAACACATTTCTCAAGTATTTCTGTTAAGAGATGCTTGGAATTTATGTATCTTGTTTCACTTCATTTCTGAAGCAATTTCTTAATGAAAACACATTTTATTTCCAAATTTCAGGGATATTATTCATCCCTGAATTCACTGGATTCAATTCTGTTTTCTCCCAAAGATCTTTGAAATTAATTCACCAATATATTGTTGCTAAATTTGATAGCCAAGACATGGCACAGGGATTAGAAGAACTGCCCTGATGCATCTCATAGCTATAGACTAAATAATTTGGCTCGGGAGTGATGAGGATATCAGACACATGCATTCTGCTTAGTATTTTAAGGATACATGTTTAGTTTTGCTCCCAGGTTCATCTTGGTGCATTCTTTCCTTGCTCAGTTCCGAAGGAAAATTGCATCCTATTTTCTATACAAAAGTAGTTCCATTACATAAAGGGTTGGAGGGGGAAGAAATAAAAGGGGGAAAATTTCTATGAGAAAGCATTGCCAGGGGCTGTTTCTTCAGGCTTTACATAATCTCATTCCAAGAAAAACGAAGCCAAAGTGTTGAAAGGAGCAATAACTGGGACTAGGAGGCATAAAAGTCTGGTTTCCACTTCTGTCTTACTTTCATTGTCCCCAGCCCCTCAGACAGAGCTGGGTAGAACAGGCTGTGATGCAAAAGGCCTTTCTGGATGAAATCCATGTTTCTTTAACCCTCAGCCGTGTGCTGTTTTCTCTGTGTCATGCTCACCCATTAGCATTTTAATCTAGCTTCATATGGCACTACTGTGCAGATGGAATTGCTTTCTTGCCTTTGTTTGTTGTATGGGTGACAAACATGATGGCATTTTCATGATTGGGAAAATGCCATGAAGTTGTAAAAATGAGGTGACTTCTTCTTGCCAAGCCCCAAGGAATGGGAAAGCAGAAATGGCTCCAATAAAGACTGCAAATGTTCCCAATATTAAAATGCTAAGGAGACTTTCTCTGACCAAAATGAGAAGGTCTGGTGGAGCCTAGAGACTCAGACATAATCCTGAATTTCTCTGTCTTCTAAATGGGATGTGGCTTATCCGACTCTCCAGGAAGTCATTCAATCAATCCTTTCTTTAATATGGACATCTCCTTTCTGTGGCTTCTAAGAAGCACTGGAAAATAAGATACATATTTACATATTGCTTTGGTGGCATAATGGTGAGTCGGTAGGCTGTTCACTCTTACAAAACTGTTTTCAAACATTGAAGGGTTTTTGTTTTATGACTTCATCACTCCTTGAGGTCTGTACATTCTAACTTACATTTACCTGGTATTTCCCAAGAAATTGCATATGAATTGTGTCTGTAAGTAAACAATCTTCCAATAGGAGACTTTAAGTAGAAAAAAAATGACAGTTTTGGGGATGGGAAGCAAAGAAAGTATTGATAAAAAGACTCAAACTCTGTCAAATATTTTTAGACATTTATTCTGAGCCAAATATGACTGACCATGGCCTGTGACAGCCCTCAGGAGGTCCTGAGAACATGTGCCCAAGGTGGTCAGGGTACAGCTTGGTTTTATATGTTTTAGGGAGCCATGAGATGTCAATCAGATACATTTAAGAAATACATTGGTTTTGTTCAGAAAGGCGGGACAACTCAAAGTGGGGGCTTCTAAGCTATAGATAAATTTAAACATTTTCTGGTTGATAATTGGTTGAGTTTATTTGAAGATCTGAGATCAAAGGAAACGTTGAGGTTAAGATAAAGGATTGTGGAGATCAATTTTTATTGTGCAGAGGAAGCTCTCAGATAGCAGACTTCAGAGACAGCAGGTTGTAAAACGTTTCTTATTGGACCTAAAAGGGTGCTGCCTCTTAGTTGATTGTCTCCTGGATCTGGAAAGGAAGGAAAGAAAACAAAGGGGAGAGGGGATTCTCTACAGAATGTGGATTTTTCCCACAAGAGACTTTGCAGGGCAATTTCAAGGTGTGGCAAGGAAATATATTTTCGGGTAAAACATTTTGATCTTCTTCCTTGTTATGCCAGAGTCATATTGGAAAGTAAATTACAATATACAGGGTTAAATAAAACCCATCTAATGAGAATTTACAGTTTGTAGGGCATGACTCCCTAAACCCCTTAGATAGAAATTTGAGCAAGATAAAAAAAAATCAGAGCTTAGTCTTCAAAATGATCTTATAAAGGCTGTCTCTTTTCTATACAGTGTATTTTCCTGAGAACTTGGTATCTTGTTTTGATATTTGTTGAGATGCCTTCAGGTGATGTGTACAGTCCTGTTCAACACACCTCCAGTCACCATCCAGAGTTCATGAAAGGCGTAGCTAATCAGCACCACTCTTTCTTGCTGAACCACAACACAGTCTCAGAACATTTTTCAGGGACATTGCATGCAGTCTCTACCAATTGATCAGGGTTGCAATGCAAGATGAAATAACCTGCCCTCCGGGTCTGGGCTCAGCCAGTGATGCGGTTCCTCTTCTTAGGATGAGTGGCCAGATATAGAAGACAACCTTAGTAGGGAAAATATAAATATTCAACTTCTTCTGCAGCTCCCTCCTCCTTCTGCTTCTAGTAAAGCATTACAGATACAGCAGGGACACCTTTGACAGGCAAACATAGTTTCTTCTGTCTCATTCCAGGTTACCTTCTCCCTTGTGTTCCTGTGCTTTCTCTTAGCATTCCTCAAGGATTTGGATTGCTTTCTCATGGTGCATCCTCTAATCCCTAATGGAGTTCTGGGTCTGCAGGCATGGTAGGCAGAATTCTAAGATGGTCTCAACAATTCTTGCCCCACTAGTATTCACATTCTTTACTCTCATAATTAGGTTGCCTACTGTGACAAAAGTGAAGGGATTCTGGAGATGTAATTAAGGTTCCAAAGAAGTTGATTTTGATTAAATCACAAGAAAGATTATTATGGAGGGCCTGATCTAATCAGGTGAGTTGTTCAAAGGCCTGGACCTTTATAAAGAAAGAAACAGAAATTCTGCTTGTCTTGAAGGATTAAATAGTCAAGTACTAAGCTATCTGTGCAAAGGGCCAAATGGCAAGGACCTGAGAGCAGCCTCTAGCTGCTGAAAGCAGTCCCTGGCCAACAGCTAGCAAGAAAATGGGACCCTCATTCATACAGTCACAAGAAAATAAATTCTTCCAACAATCTGCAGGAGCTTGGTGGTGGACATTTATGTGGTTCGTCTCCAGATGATAATGTAAATGACCAACGTCTTGTTTTCAGCTTTGTGGGTGTCCAGCTAAAACATGTCAGACTCCTGACCCACAAAACCTGAGAGGTAATGAATTTATGGTGTTAAGCCACTGAGTTTGTAGCCTTTCATTATGTAGTAATAGAAAATAAAGGCATGATCTACTTTACCCTTTCTACTGCCTCTCAAAATCAGCAAATGGTTTCTTTTGAGCGTCTTACTGTTTTTTCCTATAGGAAAATTAGCATAAGAACAACAACTGGCTGGGCACTGTGGCTCAAGCCTGGAATCCCAGCACTTTGGGAGGGCGAGGCGGGTGGATCACGAGGTCAAGAGATCGAGACCATCCTGTTGTCAACATGGTGAAACCCCATCTCTACTAAAAATACAAAAAAAAAAAAAAAAAAAAAAACTAGCTGGGCATGGTGGCACATGCCTGTAATCCCAGCTACTCAGGAGACTGAGGCAGGAGAATTGCCTGAACCCAGGAGGCAGAGGTTGTGGTGAGCTGAGATCGCGCCATTGCACCCCAGCATGGGTAACAAGAGTGAAACTCCGTCTCAAAAAAAAAAAAAAAAAAAAAGAAGAACAACCAGTGATAATATTGAAGGAATTAAAGAAATTTCACAAGTTCTTATGTCACAATAGTTATTTCTAGTTCATATGAAGACCTAGAGATGGAATCATCCCTCTCACTCTTCTTCAATTACCCTGGGGCAGACACTGCTTGTCCAAAGATGGAATGGGTGGAATCTCTGCCTTAGGAAATACCCAGTGGTGATGTAAGGTGCGCCTTGTCTTAGAGAAAGTCTTAACAGCACCCAAGCCCTCCTTGGTGAATTCTCTTTTCTGCAAGTGTTAAAGTGATTTACCCTGCCTTTAACTCCACTCCCTGCTATTTTTCATGTACACCTTATCTCCCTCATAAAGGGGCACTGCTTTCTTCAAGCCATTTAGTAAGAAATGAACATTATTAATCATTTACATTTTGAAAAGTTGCAGATAAGGGTCTGTTTTTTTCATGTGTCATTCATTGCTTGGGGTAGCCAAGTTTACCATATATACCTATCACAGAATTTCTTACAATGGATAAAATGGATCCTCTCTCTTTTTTTGGAAAGGTCTTTTTGAGTCATTTTTATTTGGGACTTCTGTTAACTTATGCTGTAAACTGGGGAGTGATAATATAATAATTTTACCTACTTCATAATGTTTTGTGAAGATTCAATGAGGAAATACGTGATAAGTTCCTGGCACCATAAAGCACATGCTTAATAAATCTTAGCCATTATCATGATGATTATATTCAATATCTAGCATGCTTCCAGCAGTGTGCAAGACCTTCAAGAGGGAAAGCAAAAATTATTTTGTACCAGCTGCATATGTCACAATAGAGACCTTTAGGTTCAACCTCACAATGCCCCTGTCATTCAGCAGTGGGTGGGGCTTGGAGACAGACTATGAATTGGGGCACCTGAGCTTGCAGAATCCAGACAACCAAACTCCATCAATCAAGAGAAACTTAATCCAGGGAGGTAGGGTAGGGAGTTGAGATCAGGAGGGGTAGTTTACAAAGATCTCTATTTTGCATTTTTTCTAGACTACTGGAGAAATAAGGGAACAGAGTGAATGAGTATAAAATTTCAGAATCATGAAAGTTTAATCTGAGAGTCCTAGTTGATTATGAAAACCATGAGATATTGATATTGGGCACTTAAAATATGCCAAATTGGAAAGAATTATGGGCTTTGTCAGAGTTTCTTCTCTTCCTAGGCATGTAGAAGGGCCTATGTATATCATTAGGCTGCCAGTTCTATATATATACATGTGGGTACACACATGTGCAATATACCATAGGCAGCATAGCTGATCACGGACCTTAAGGTATGTTGCTTTGTCCTTTCTATCAGTTCACAAATTATACGTAGGCAAGACCTTATAGACCTTCAATTTTCAGTTTTCTGCTGTTTGGACTGTATAATTTTTTGTGTTTTACATTTTTAGCCCTTTGAAAAAATGTCATCCTTTTCCCAGGGTTCTTCTGCTCACTGGGTCAGAAGCATCCAATTTCCTGTCATCAGTTGCTGTTCAGCCATGTTAATACTAAAAGTATAAGAATATCATAATCCCAGAGTGATATAAAGACCTTTCCAAGGAAGATGAGATACCCAGAGGCTGTGAAGGAGAAGTCTGAAGGATTTGACCACGTTAAAATGAAAAGCTTCGGTTAGCGAAACACCAGAAACAAATTCAAAAGATAAAATACTCTCTGGAGAAGCCCATTCTCTCAACACATCTGACAGTTCACAAAGAGCAACTGCAGTCCAGCTTAAAAAATGAAGAAAATGGTAGGAAAATAGGCAATGTGCACTGACACAATATATAAGAAGAAACAGGAATGCCCAATTAACCAACAAAAGCCTGCTCAATGCTAACAAGTGAAGATAAAAGCTTAGTAAAGATGAAAATTTATTGAAGATAAAAATGGATACTCTGGCCATATATAAAAGCATTGTTGGTAAGAGAGTGGGGTAATTGACATGCTCCTGGGACATAGTAGGCATTCAAACAACTTCTAATGAGTGAATACACTGGGGGTATCCACCAGGAATAGCAAAAAAGCCCACCAATGCCTGAGTTTGTGGTCCAGAGTTTGAGCAGTGGTCTAACAAGGCAGAGGCTCTCCCTCTGTCACGGGCTCCACCTCTTCAGCAAAGAAACATGCCTTATTTTGGTAACTCATCCAAATAACAGAACTTTTTTTTTTAATAATCTTATAGCGTTTATTTGGTTAAGTCTGAGGCAGAACGTTTTTCTCCTTTGTAGTATCTTTGTTTTGTTTTGTTTTAATTCTTGAAGTTTATTACCAAATTACATCTTGCTGATTTTTCAGGATATGGATAGGCCTTCCTATTCTCAATTAAGTCTTTCTTTCCTTTAATTCAAGAATCTTTTAATCGTGTCTTAATTTATTTTTCTGTCATCCCTCCCCACGCCATAAGCTACCAGACACCGTACATGTTGGAGCTCTCTTTACTGTGGCATAGATCTCTAATGTCATATCTTTAGTCATTATTTCGTGTCAGAGATTTCTGTTCTTCCAGGGACATCTGGCAGTGCCTAGAGACACCCTACTGGCACCTCTGGACATGCTAGTGGCTTCTAATGGGTAGAGGCTAAAGATGTTGCTAGACATCCTGCAATGCCCAGGACAGCCACTGCCACAACAAAGAATTATTCAGGCCAAAAATGTCCATAGTGCTAAGGAAGAGAAACCCTGTCCTAGGGTCAAGGCTGGATACTGATAAGACTAATTTCAAGTGATTTCAAATGATTGTGGGGAAAATACCCAGAACTTGACAGGAGCCATATGTAGATACTTCCTCCTGTAAATCATATTTCCCTAATGCTAATGCTGGAGCATTTGGAAGTATGTGTATAAATATTTGAAGCATAAAACCAGAGAGATGCCCTTATGTTTTTAGCTTCTAGTTTTAAATAATAGATACTACAATAAACCTTGATTATCTGACGTGCTCTGGGTTTGCGCTTTTTGTGTGGGTTACATTTTCTAGTTAGTGAACATTTAACCACGAAATATATTTGTTTCAAGCTTTGTTTTTCAAAAAGATAGCATTTCTAACTGAGGTGCTTGTAATGTCCCTGGATCATGAAGTAAGTTGAAAACCCTTAAATCCTGTATAAATGAAGGAGGGGAGAGTATTATGGTTATAAACACAGTTTTTTCTAGGTATCAGATTGAGCTAAAATGCTAACTGACACAATGTTAGAATTTCTGAAAGTGATTTTAGAAATAAAAGTCAACATCTAACAGTTAATAAACATCTGTCTAAAATTTTAATAAGCCCTTCAGTCACATGTTCAACACTCTTACCCTGATTAAGAAACTCTATAAGACTAATGAACTGATCTGTATTCACTTTATCTCCTTTTTTTCATAAATGCACATATTTGAGTAGTTACTGTTCTAATTGTTTGCAAATTCATTTGCATGATTTCCTTCAATATTTCATAGAACCTACAAAATTAATTACTTGATCTCATAAGAATAAGCACCCTGTCTCCTCCCTTTCTGTATTAAGGCTAATTTAAGGGGAGGAATGTAATTTAATAGAATATCATTGTTTACTCACATTACATAATGAGATCTCAGTAGGAAAGGATGCTGAATGCTACCTTTGAGAGTCAATTAGTACCTTGGGGCAAAAATATGATAGTTTAACCATGTAGTCATTAAGACTTCCCAGATAATAGCTTTCAAATGGTCAAAGCCGTAGTTTCTAGAGCTCCTCTCAACTCTTCTAAAATGCTAAAAAGCAGGTTCAGAGGAGGTTGAGCAAAGATTACAAGAGCCAGAAGTCTCCATCATCATCACTGCACTGGTTTGTCTGGGTGGCATAATTTGCAAATCTCACTGATAACCTACGCTTGATATAATGATGTGATAAGTTAAAACAGAACAAGAAAAATTATTCTCTCATCTATGTTTCTTTTTCAGAGCCATTTCTTGATATTCCCTCAATATTCTCTTCATAAAGAGTTGAAATAAAACAGTAGGACGAACCCTGAAAACTGACACAGAGTTTGTTTGATGCAAGCTTTGATTAACATTTTATATTTTTGGTTTCATTCTTTTTCTTAGTTGTTCTTTACATTAACCAGAGCAATCTTAAGTATAATATGCACATTCATTCAGAGATTTTTTTTTTAAGTTTAACAATGACTGTCTTTTCTTATAAGCACTGTTAGTTTTAGAGGTTACTCAATCCATTGTGTCTTTGGGTGTTGCACCACTATTTATTCAAAGTTACCCTTTTGCTTACACATACCCATGTATTAAAGAGAATTAAGTTGATTCACAAAGATGCCATAACAACCACAAAACTATATTATGTTCATTTTTTTAATACTGCCTGAAATCTTGAAGGCAATCAAAATAGCAGGTAATGCAAAGAATCTGTTGAGCATTACTGGACACTTTTGCAGTTGAAGACACTGTAGTCACCAAGTAACTTGTTCAGTGTCTGCTGTGTCCTCGGCACTGAGTTGGATACTGCAAAAACATTACCTGATGAGTTTTATCTCAGAAACATTTGCCCTATTCAGAGCTCAGCTCTTAAGGAAATTTCTCCAACTAAAAATAGTCAAAGGACATGAGTTGAATCGTTGATCAAATCTTTGATCATCCCAAATAATGAAACTGCTCCTCTGGCTCTGACTGGAGACTCATTTACTCATACTTTGCCCATGTGTTTCACAATCATGATTTTCTGATTTCCCGGTTAATGATGCTTTAGGAGCAGTGAGTTGGACGGTGATAGAAGATTCTAATTAGTGGCTGGCACAGAGGCTCACACCTGTACTACCAAAATTTTGGAAGGCTTGAAAAGGTGGATCACTTGAGCCTAGGAGTTTTAGGCCTGCCTGGACAACATGGTGAAACTCCTCTCCACTAAAAATACAAAATTAGCTGGGCATGGTGGCATGTGCCTATAATCCCAGCTACTCAGGAGGCTGAGGCAGGAGAATCACTTGAATACAGGAGGTGGAGGTTGCAGTGAACCGAGATCATGCCAGAGGGAAGGAAAAAAAAAGAAGGAAGATTCCCATTGGAGGCACAGTAATGGCTGAAAGCCTCTGGAATACGAGGAGAAATTTGAAAAACAAATAAAATACAATACACATCAGACTATGAGGGCATTAAGTACAAGGATACCCAGTAAAAGGGATGGTATAATAATAAATGGCAAAAACGTGCTTAACATACCATGTTTAAAAAGACAGAGACATATGAGATATACCATAAATGGGCTTCTTGCCAAAGTATTTACACTCTTAAAAATGCTTGGACCTAAGAAAGAAAACCATCAGTTATCTGGAAGACTCAGCCACTCTGGTGAATTGATTTTTCTGTATAGCAGAGGTTTTAGCATTGTTGATGAAGCACAGCTAAGAGTAAACTGCAGGATGTCATTAAATGCTGCGTTGTCTGCCACCCCTTTCCATAGTTTCTAAGAAAAAGTAAGTGATTGAAAGCTCTAATGGTGAAAGAAAATTTAGGAGTCTGTGCTAAGTCTAGAAGCTAAACTAGAATTTGAATAGGTAGTGGGTTTTCACACTGATTAAATATGAAGCAATTTTTTGACTCTTTATTCTCATCTTATCTCTGGATAGTAATCCAAGGAAATGGACCACTTGGGAGTAAAGATTCTGAAAGCACCTGACACAAAATCTTTCATCTTCACTATTTTTCTCAGCCTCCTTCCATCTCTCTTCCTCAATCCATCCTGAGTCAGGTTATACTGCTCCAGCGTGACGTGAAGAGCGGAGTAAGGCAGTAGAATCCACGTTCTAGGTTTAAATTCTGAAGCTTACCAACTGGTACCTTTGAACAAGCTGTTGAGCCTGCATTCCTGCAGATGACACTGGCACTCACAAATGATGATCCCACTGATCACGAATCATCAGGACAATGCAGGTGATGAGTATTTTCCAAACCACAAAATCCTTTAAGAAATATTTTAAATGTTAGTTTTCCATTGAGTGATGAGATTCTTCAGGATTCTTCTTTTCTTTCTCCCCATACCTAGGACCTCAGGAGCCTGATTCTGGGCACAAACTGCCCTTTGGGACTTCCAATTACTTAGCAGCAATACCAATTCTGTGATTATTATTGTATTTAGTTTAAATTTCAGCATGAAGAACAAGCAGGTGAAAAACCTCCTTTTCTTTCCAGCGTTTGCTACAGGAAAGTATAAAAAATGGCTATTTGGTTGATCAAGTGAAATGTACTAGGAAATTATAAATGCATAAATGGCAAGAATGAGAGAGGGAATAGTTATGACTCCAAGTCAGTCTGTCTGGAGTTTTGGGGAGATAGAGTGATTGATGAATGTCTGTTCAAGCCATCATGATCTGTTAGATTCAAGTTCACAAGCTGGAAATTCTTATTAATCAAATGAGTGGGGGCAGAGTGGCCACTCATACAAGATGAGCTTATTCTCATCCAAACCAGCCTGGCTACCACTCCATTTACTAGGAGCAAGGCCTGCTGTGTCTCACTCAGACCTGTACTCTGCTTGGGTTTTCTTCCTGATGAGAAAGAACTCATTGTTCCAATTGATTTGAGAGTGAATTCTACTTTGTGTCCCTGGGGAAACCTGCAAACGCCCAGAGCTCATCTTGTCCTCTCTCATCACCATCCAGCCTCATCTCCTTGAACCCCTCCTCCCATTGGAGCCAGAATGATCGATTTAAAATGCAAATCTAACTACTACTCCTGTTATTTTCCAAGTCTTCCAGAATAAATTCCAAATTTCTTAGCATGGACTATAAAACCCTCTGTGACCTGGTTCCCTGCCCTGCCCATGTCTGACTAGAAATTGATGATCTAACAATCCCAGAGTACTTACCATCCATGAGGCCCTTCTCTAACCAAGACATTGTTTACACCTCCATGCCTTTGTGCTGTTCTCTTTATTAGAACTTCCTTCTATAATCTGTTTTCCTTGCTATTCTTTCTCATTCTTCAAGATTTAACTTATATTTGTTTTTCCAACAAACCTTTTTTGTAACTCCAGAGTGGGAGCTGTGGGAGGTTGTGCTTTGTCTTTGCACATAGCTCTCTGCTTATAATGGTACATTGAAATGATCTGATTATGTGTTCTTTTTCCCATTAGAAATATGTGCTTTACAAAGACAAAGACTGAATTTTGTCTATCTTCAAGCACTTAGCAGTAAACTTGTCAGTCTACTCAGTAAGTGTGTGTCAAACTGAATCATTGTGTTTCTAGAAACTTCTGACCATGTGGTCCATTCATTGATTCATGAGTGGAGGTCTACTTTGATTACCAGGCAAAGGGGAGAACTGGAGTACTTACCAAGCAAATAGAGATTCGCTGGTGGCTGTCTACATATTCAACTGAATAAAAGTCCCTATATTTCTAAAGTCATTTTAACATCTCCCACTTTGCCTGCATCATAATAGGCATTATGAGCATCCACTAATGACCAGGCAGATCACCTGCCCTCAAAATGTATGTTTTCTAGATAAACAAAGCTAACTCTAGGTGCTGCACGAAAAGTCACAGCCTTGCTGTTTCAGTGAAGATACATACCAAATGCTCTTGAAGGAATCAGTAAAGACTATAGGGTAAGAGACACTGCAAGTGCCATTGGAAAATGGCTAAGATTTTGAAAAATAGTGATAGGGAAGAGGTAAACCGAAAATGGGAGATGATGCCTTCTAGCCAGAGGACTTTCACAGGCAGAGATAGAAAAGCCCTGAGCACAGTTAGGTAACATGAGCACTCCTGATAATTCAGTCTGACCCTAATGTAACTCATCTTCCATTCATTATCCCCACCTCCAGGCTCCAGCCACCTTAATTCCTTTCTCTGGCCTAGTGGTTCACAAAAGAATGAACAACAGAATTATCGCTGGGCCACAGATTGCTGGGCCCCATTTCTAGATTGCAGATTCAGTAGTTCGAGTGATGCTATGATCTGGGGCCAGGTTTGAGAACCACTGCAGACTTCCCTTTTGACACCATCATGCTGAAGACCTGAAGGCATCATCCCCACTCTCACCTCAGACACTGTAGGAGATGAATTTCAGAACTCCCCCAGAGCCTTGGGCACTTTGCATCTGAAGGAACAACTGTCTCAGAAAAATCACAGCCAATCGTCCATTGGCAAAGCGGCCACCACCATTTCAGTTGCGGAGCAAGGCAGTGTTTTCCCGTCATCCTGGCAAACGAAAGACTAACTTAGACCATCTGGTTCTGTAACACCCTCCTACACCACTGCTTAAAAGCAGCTGAACATATTTTCTCTTACATTTTGTCAATAAAATATTGCTCCCCCAGGCTGTCGGCTTGCCACATTTGCAGCCCTTAAGCAAAGTGGGAGCAGTTAGTGGTGGCACCAAGAGGACAGCCATGGGGTAGAGCCCCTCAGCCTTTTGCTGTTGACGCTCCACAACCCTCTTAGGGGCAGAACCTTAAACTGATTCCTCAAAATAGTTTTTAAAATCACCACCAAATATATATGAAGACTTTTGCTGGCTCCTCTGCCCTTTCTGTCCTGTTAATTTTGCTTGGCTTTAAGAGAGTGAAGAATGAACGCCTAGCATTTCCAATGGCCAGGTAGAGTGTGTACACATTTATTAAGATTAATTAAAAAGTAACAAATTGTAAAGTAATAACATTAACAACCAGTAGAAAAAGTGTAGACATTTTGACAGTCTTTTTGAATTTCATTAAAAGATGGTAGTGACAAAACCCCCAGAGACTATTTCTACTTTACTAAAGAAATAGGTCACAGATTCAATTACAGTCACTGAAGCATGGACTCAATCTATCATGGCAAATTAAGTACATTTTAGCAACCTACTTTCCTTTAAAAATTTTATAGACACTTTCAGTGGAAGAAGAAAGACTATAGAAAAAAAAAGAAATTGCAAAACCAAGTCCCACCCTACTCCCCCCTAGGCTTTGAGTAAGCATTTGGCTTATTTGCTTTGGGTATAAGACAGAAAATCATTAAGAAATACTCAGCATGCTCACAATTATTACTCTTCACTCTTTCATGGTTTAATGATGCAGATTTGGAATTGGGAGTGGGAAATGGCTCCAAATTAGAATCGCTAAGTCTTCAAAGTGGGGCTTTGTTCTCCAGGCGGGGACCCACCCCCCTGCTTTTAAAACAAGACTATTTGTACTCTACAGCTTTTATGATTTTTTTTTTCCTTTCAGTCTCGGCAGACCCATTGAGCTCATTTCTGGAAAGATAAATAAATAAATAAGACTTGTATGGCCTGTGACATTTGGTTTAGCCAAGTGCTAATATGGGGACGAGGAAACACCATTTTGCCCATAGCAAAACTAGTTTCACGTTGACAACTGACGTCTATGAAGGGCCTCTTGCCCAGTAGCAAGCAGGGAACATCTTTGGGCCACCAGCCTCACTCAGTAACTGCAGAGCATGAAGGACTGAGATCCTTATGTGTGCCCTTTGACAAGTAAGAACCTGGGGACAGCTGCGGCCTTCAAAACCCAGGCTTGGAGCTCAAGTGTAGGTATTTCTCCTAAACAGCAGGGCCACCAAAGCTCCTACTCAGATCAGTGCTTAATCCACTGCAGCCCTGCCTTTTCTCTTACAACTCTGATGGGTCTTTTCCCAATGCCTCTGTGTAATGGGCACAAAGAAGTAAGCAACTGCGTATGCTCCCCAGAGAAGTATGATGGTGCTACATGCATCTCTAAATTGTCTTGCTATTGCCCAATTAAAGCAGAACCTCTCATTTGGCAGGCTGAAGGCTAAATTTACTGATAGAATGTCAGTATAACTGACGGGTAGAACTAAAATTTTTTTATTATTATGATACTTTAAGTTCTGGGGTACATGTGCAGAACATGCAGGTTTGTTACACAGGTATAAATGTGCCTTGGTCACTTGCTGCATCCATCTCCCTGTCATCTACCTTAGGTATTTCTCCTAATGTTATTCCTCCCCAATACCCCTACCCCTGCTATTCCTCCCCTAGCCTCCCACTCCCTGACATGCCCCAGTGTGTGATGTTTCTCTCCCTGTGTTCATGTATTCTCATTGTTCAACACCCACTTATGAGTGAGAACATGCGGTGTTTGATTTTCTGTTCTTGTGTCAGTTTGCTGCAAATGGTAGTTTCCAGCTTCATCGATGTCCCTGCAAAGGATATGAACTCACCCTTTTTTATGGCTGCATAGTATTCCATGGTGTATATGTGCCACATTTTCAGTTTATTGTGGCACTGTTTATAATAGCAATAACTTGGAACCAACCAATATGGCCATCAAAGATAGACTGGATCGATTTTTAATTTTCATTGCAAAATTGCAACTCCCTTAGAGATTAGGTTTCACAGCAACTAGTACTCCTCAAAATATTATAGATCCAGAGATAGTCACAGCCTACTTGCTTGGTAGTATCTCTCTATACAGATAGATAGATACATAGACAGATTGATTGATTGATTTTAGAGATAGAGAGAGATAGAGATAGAGATAGAGATAGAGACAGAGATAGAACTGAGTCAGGAGCTACCAGGTCTTCTTACAGTACCAGCTCTTTGCAACTACAGAGTTGGTATGTCCACCTGTGTGCTATGGAACTCCCATCTGTGAAACTATTCCTGAAAAGGGAGAACAATGAATTTGAGGAAGACTCATGAGACCAGAAAGGCTAAAGACTGGCAGCAAACTGAAGCTGTAGGTTCTCCATATAAAGATGGTGAACTCACATGGGCACTCATGTGCAGTAGCTATACTTGTCTTGAATAGACGAGGGGACAAAAAAAAGATGTGTATTTAAGTGGTTTCCTAGCTTCCCACTTAGTTTAAGATGGTGTGCTACGTACATTTCCTCTATTTATCCTTCAGTTAACTTGATATAGTAGCAAAGTCTATTGGATCCTCTGAGTCTGAACCTGTACTAGCTGTTGTCCTTCCTTGCGCCCCTCCAAAAAAAACCCTAAATATACCTAAATATATTTATAAATATATAATATATTCAGTAATGCTTAGCATATAATAATTTTATATGCTAAGTATTATTTTATAGTGTATTTGCATTCTGTCCACTGAGATGGTCACACTGTGAAGGGCTCCTGGGAACTGAGACCAGAGAGGAGTTGCTTCCATCTAAAGTTCAGTAGCCAAGTGTAGGAAATGCCTTCAGGATTTAAAGCAAGTTTCTGTCCTCAAGCGTTCTGGTTTAGCTCTTCCAGAGCGGGCCAAGTTTTGGTAGCTGTTTTTTAAGCTTTGTCTGGTGATTCTAATGCATAGCATGGTGTGGTATCAGGGATTTCAATTTTCTTCCTCTTTCTGTATTTGCGGAATTTGTATAATTTGAAGTCACTTTCAGTTTGACTCCCCTATGCTGCTCTCTCCTGCTCTTTGGGGAACAGTCAACTTCCGAGACCAACCTTGTTTCTGGAGAAGCATTCTTCCCACATGGGAAGGACGGGGCTGAGCCTGGCTAGTCTCTGCTCAGGGCCTTTGACTATGCCTGAACACACGTTTGCTAAAACTGACAAAGCAAGACAGGAGGTGGGGCCGGCCAGAAGGACAAGTGCTTTGCTTTGCAGCCTTCGAAATGATTTTAAACTCCTGAGTTCAATGCCGATTAAGATGGATATTTGAGATCATTGCTGGGCAGTATGAAGCCAGGTGAGAAAACCTCTGTAAATACATAAGAGACAATTCAAGACTCTGGATAAAATTCACCTCCTTTTGTTTGAGTTTTTTGTTTGTTTTTTGTTTTGAGGTGGAGTCTTGCTTTATTGCCCAGGCTGGAGTGCAGTGGCATGATCTTGGCTCACTACAACTTCTGCCTCCCAGGTTCAAGCGATTCTACTGCCTCAGCTTCCCAAGTAGCTGGGCGAACAGGCGGGGGCCACCATGCCTGGCTAATTTTTTGTATTTTTAGTAGAGGTGGTGTTTCACCGTGTTAGCCAAGATTGTCTTGATGTCCTGACCTCGTGATCCACCCGCCTCAGCCTCCCAAAGTGCTGGGATTACAGGCGTGAGCCATGGTACCTGGCCTGTTTGAATTTTAAAAGGTAGAATCAGATGGTGCACTAGGCTTGGTGTCCTTGGGAGATGGTCTAGCTTAATGGTTAGGATTACAGAAACATAAGCTAATTTGCCTGTGTTGAATACTCACCCTGCCACTTGCTAAGTCATTTGGGGCAGGATACTTAATTCTCATGTGCCTCACCCTCCTCATCAGCAAGATGGGGACAATAATCAATTCTGAGGATTAAATGACTTAATGCATGTAAATTGCTTAGTCCAGTGCTTGACATAGATGATGCACTAAAGAAATGCAGCCACTGTTCTATGTATTATCAGCGGCATTATCTAGGAGAACTAATTGCTGGATAACTCACGCTGTGTCTTCAGTTACATTTTCTTTTCCTAGCTTAAATCATGGAATAAAAGATATATTTTCAGAAAAAAGATATGACATCCACCCCTGGTGGATCATTGGTGAGGCAATATAGGAAAGTGGGTTTGGAACTGGAAGCCTTGTACCTTTGAGCTACCTGTGGGTGGCTTTGGGTTAAGTCCTTGGCATTGTTTCAATCCAGGTTTCATTAAGTTTAAACGTAGAAATTTTTTATTTTCATTGGGTCGTAATATTTTCACTAGGCCTTATGAAAAATTCTTCATACTGATGTCACACTTTACAGAGAACTTATAAATCATTGCATTCAAGCCTCATGGTAACAGGTTGAAAAAGATACTACTGTCCCCAATTTACAAATGAAGAAATGGAAGGCGAGACTTTTCCCAAGGCCACCAAACTAACCAGTAAGGCAAGTACTTAAGGCTACCATGCTCAGCAATGTTTCTAATAGACTGTAAGTGCATCGTTTTAGATAAATGGCATATGGAAACATGCCTAGGAAATTATAGCGTGCAATGTAAGTGGCATGTTTTGCCATTATTTGGGGACTTTCCCTTTGATATCATGTAAAGAGAAAGGTAGTACAGAAATAGCAAGCCTTAGGTTTTACAGCCAGTTACTCCTCATTCATTAGCAGTGAAGCTGGAGCCCAGTGACTGAATTCCTATACCCGGTGCTGACTTAGCATAGACATCACACTATTGATACCTTTTATCATTTACCCCTCTTTTCTTTGCTGATTTTCACTTCAGAGTGAAACACTGCTGACCTATGAAACAGTGATCCTTGTCCACGTGGAAATTAATTAGCTGAAAATTGTCTGGAAGATAGAATAGTGACTAAGAGTTTGGAAAGTAGAAGGAAGTTCCCTAGGAAGTAGACTAACCAGAGATTCTTTGGTTGAGTTATTTCCTTCCATCTGAGTCTCATTCTGTCTTCCTCTGCTGCTGCTCCCTGAGAAGCTCGAATATCTCTTGATGAACTTGGCATAATAACCATGCACAGCTGGACAGCAATATGGCTTGAGAAGGAGTGTACTCACAGCCCATGATGTTAGATGAGCTTCAATTTGTTCAAACTACTTGCTGTGTCAGTCTGACTCCAGGCGTCAGTGTGAAAAATGAGAAATTTAGTTACCTATATAGATAGTAATAACAACAGTCATACCCTGAAATTTTATAATATTTTTGAAGTTACTACGCACACACGTTTCAGGCAACTGTTACCACAGTTTGGTGAAATAGGTAGGTTTATTCTTCTTATTACAGAGTAAACAGATCTCAGACTTGGGGGATTTTTTGACTGGTCCTGTTTTATAGGGGCAAACTCATGTCTTTACTTACCCTACCTTTTTTTGTGGACAGCAATCTTTTGCCTATCCAGGACAACCACTACCAGGACAAACTATTCTTTTCTTTTGTAAAAATGGACCCTCTCTTTTCAGGGGAGCACCTACATTTCCAACTACAAATATTTGTTTACTGCTACAGTGTATTTATCAGACCTTACACCCTGGACACGATTAATTAGTAAAGGGTTGGACATCCAACCCCAATCTTTCTAGAATTTTTCAAATTGTAAGTAGGAGATAGACGTTTACAGCCGTGGAAGCTTAGACAGCTGTGTTTTTCACTATGTTGAGAAAGCTGGTTTGTATGGGAAGAATGAAGCCAGCAAACAGAAAAGCGGAGTTGGGAAAGAGAGAATCTTGGTGGCATTGAAGCCCCTGGTCCCAACTGTTCCTAAGACTATGTCCATTGAAAAAATAATCCTTCTCTTCTTTTTCCTAGACTTGGGTTTATGTCACTTTTAATCAAAAGAGTTCTAATCAATGGATTCTCATATTCCCAAATGAATTAAGTGACTCTAATCTTAAAAACCATTTTAATTCATGTCAAAAAAACCGACTCAGGTATGCATGTTTGTCCTAGCTCAGTAGTTGCTTATTTAACTCTTCCACACAGTTGTGAACATCACTAAATGTGATATGGAAAATTGAACAAGGTTGCTAATTAATTAAGCAGATCAAACATAGAGTCTCGCTATAGAGACTGGCTCATATATGGACAAGTGTTCACTCTGCCCCCTACCAAATCTGCATCATTTAAAATCACAAGGATCATTAGCTTTAACTTCACATAAGCAAGATAGTTAATACATTCCTGAACAGATTTTAGTGAGATCTTATTTCTCTGCTTCTCTGATCAAGAATATACATCCTGAAGGGCACAGGAGAATCTTTGATTGGTTTACAACCCAGAATATGGAGACAGATTGCTTGACTGAAAATCTCAGTCTGATATTTCCTCTCTGCAAAACTTTGGCCAAGTTTCTTTGTGCCTCATTTATCCCACTTGTAAAATGAGAAATAATAGAGCTACTTCTTATTGTTATACATAGGCCAAATGAGTCAATATCTGTAAAATATCTAGAATATTGTTTAAGACTTAACACATGCTACAGAAATATAAGCTATTAACATTATTCTATGAATTTTTATTTTGTAATTATTATAAATATATCAGTTCAAGTTATGCTTTCAAATTTCAAGAGGAAAAGCATGATGTCTAAATGGACAATCATTTTAGCATTTCTCATAAGTTAAAAGATATTAAAAAGCAGAGTTAATGGATGACTTTAAGTGGTTCTGGGTTAAAAAAAAACACTCATGACACTACAGAGTAACAAAGGAATGTTAGAGGAAGAGAGATGTTGATGAGGAATTCCTGAAATTTCCATGTTTAAGAAAATGATATTTCTAAAGGCTAGGAATTAAGTGTGTAACTATAAATTTCTAGATGATTTCATTTTAGCTTGAGCTGTGCTGAAAGCAAAGGCTAGCAACTTGGAGATGGAAGCTAACATGTGTTTGCACCTCAAGCACCAGAAAAAATGCCTGAAGAACAGCAGTTCTATTTTATGTTATGTATGAAAAAGATTTCTTTTTGGCATTTAGGTTGTTGTTATAGAATACGAGTGCCAGAGGTCATTAATGGAGATGACGTGGTAAGACTGGCATCTTAACTCTCAGGCAACTCACTCAATTAACTTTTTCAGTTCTAGAAAAAAAAAGGGGAATTTTAAAATATTGTTTCTTCTTGTGCACTCACTATCCTTAAGGCAGAGCTACCCGATGGTATCTGCTGGAACTTTACAAATGGCATCACAGTGAAAATTAGAAGGGTTTGTAAGAGTTTTTTTCTCTCAAATTCAGCTCCATTAAGTGATGACAGGCATTGTATTTCAGAACCTTTAGCTCTTTAACAAAGTGTGGCAACATTTTCAACTTTTATTAGAGAGTTTTTAATAGTTTCTTGTGCAAATGAGGCCAGTTAACTAATCCTGAACACAGGCATATGGATCCGTGTATACTATTTAGGTTGTGTAAAAACTTTAGGGAGTACTATGTGGAGTGTGTTAGGCGAACATCTGAGAGATTTGATATTGATGAAGTGGGAAAATTGGGGATTGGTGCGAATGAGGTATATATAATTGACATCCACTCATTTAGTTATGATGTAGAACCTGATTTTTGGAAGATGTGTCTTTTTTTTTTCCTCTACATCATCTTAAAAACGATATATAAAATTCCCAGCAACATAATTCTTACATTTGTAAGCATTTACATTAACAAAGCCTTTTATGGACATTCTTGTCTTTACTTGTCACAAAACCCTGTGAGATAGGGAGGTCCTACCACTCCAAATTTTTGTAGTAGTAATGAAGAAAAAGGGGCTTGAAAAAATTAGTGTTTGAGGAGACAGAATGCTCTTGGAGGTTTTATTGGATAGTACTTCTTGAAGACGTCTATGTAAAGGATCTAGCAAGTGTTCAACCTAAGTGGATGCTTTTGTTCTTGTGTTTTTTTCCCACCTCTTAACATTTCCCTGCTCTAAATGTCTGAATTCTCCAGGGTTACTGAGTAATCCTCTGCTTTTTAGGCACCAGGTGTCACTCATGTAATACCTATGAATTTAGTTTTTAAGTTTTCTAAATCTAATGCCTAAGGCCTTTCTCAGAACATTTTACAATGGTTAATTGCTTTTAAAAAATAATTGTCTATCAGCCAGGATAGACCTAGGACTCTCATACATTTTTATATATTAAAAGAGAGAACGTTTTATAATTTGGTAAACTCCAAAAAATGTAGGTATATTTATGATTTCCCATTTTCTCCTCCCTCTTAGCAAGGAGGGTTTGAGTACAATTGGCTTCAGTGTAGGGATTCTGATTTGGTTAAGACAATAAGCCATGCCTATCTTCCCAGCTGAGATTGGTTTAAGGATAGACCCTTAACTATGAGAGGGTGAGTCACAGGTGAGGGAACTTCAGGAAGAGGCACTCTTTTCTCCAGAATAATGTGGTTCAGTGGGACCCTATGAGACTGAACCTGCTTAGATTATTTTGTTACCACAAGGAAATTGCCTGGTTGAACTAAAACTATCAGGTGAAATTAGCTGTTCTCAAGGACTCGATCCATGATGACATCTTTTAGCAACCAGGACTTCTGGATTTTTCTACTGTGGGAGCCAATCCATTCCTTTTATTGTTTAAGCCAGTTTGGCTGGGTTTCCTACCTTATACCATGTGTATTTGGCCCTCATAAAGGCACATGCTAACTCCCTTCTCTAATTTCTCTCTTTTCCCCATCTCTGCCATGAGCTGTGAGAAAGGGAACCCGAGGCCACGTTCATGCCTATCTCCAGGTTTTACCTGCTGTTCCTATGTAAGTAAATAAATATGCCATATTGACACTTGAATAAGTAAATATCCCATGTTGTATATTTGTGAAAGAGTGATGATAAAAGTATTATTTAGACTACAGTTTGTTGGGAAAATCAAATGAGATAATGATCATAAAAATGCCACACCAATATTAATTGTATTTCTAACCAGTGCTAATTTAATCTAGAAATTGTTGTCAGGCCCGTTTCCCCTAATTTCTTTCCAGAGATAAATTTATAATAATCTGGTAATAGATCTATAACCAGGAAGAAGCAAGAAGGGTTATGTGCAAATAGGTCATAGGTAGAATAAAAAAACTATAATGTCATAATTATTTTATGTAGGGCCTAATTTAATGCATTGTGGAATATTCCACTAAATAAAATCATCTTGCAGACTGTAAGCAGCAGACTAAGATATAAGAACTAGAATTTGTACACTGTGATTGATTATATTACAAGAATTTAGTTCAAAGTAGGCATCATTATATCTCATCTAGAATTTCCTTCCAATGTGAGGAGATGTTTCTGCATGGTAAATTTGCTCAATTTTGCAGCAGCTGTTTCTGAGCCAGAGACCCTTGCAACTCCCTGGGGCTGGAATGTTGGTGGTTCTGGAAGCTGGGCAGCACCCCTTTGACTCCAGTATAGAGTGAGCATGTGTCCTCGGCTTTCCCCGTTGGTCTAACTGTTGTCTACCCCAGGCCTACTGTTTTCAGGAAATGCTATACAGTCTTGCATAAACAAGTTCAAAACCAGCTCCATTTTTCTGGTCTGACTGAATCGGGCTGTTTAACACGGAAAAGACATTTGCGAGTACTCCTTTGTAGTTAAATTCATTCCACTTGCCCCATCTTGTGGAAGAAAGGAAAACAGCCAGATTCTTTCCCGCTTTGGGTATTTGCCCTAGAAGAGAAAATTCAACCCATTTATCTCTCTCTTTGTCTATAATCTCTTCTCTTTCACACGATATATTCCAAATACATTATTCTGAAGAAAGGCCAGTATTTCTCACATATTTACAACCTGATCTCCTTTCTTTACTGATAGGAGACCAGGATGTGGTGGTTGCCTTCAGAAGCGCTAGACAGAAATTCATTGCTGCAAGAGAGAACGCAAGCTCTGCAACCAGAATGTAGACCCAAGTCAGAATCCATTTGTGCAGGTTAATCTCTTAACCTGCTGAGTTATTCTCAGAATCCTGGAACAATACTGATCACTATATTTCCAGGTCTTTGAGATATTCTCCTCTTCTTAAGCCAGCCTACCTTGTATTTACTCACTGGTACATGGAGGTCTATTCAGAGGAAGAGTAGATGAAATCAATTCATGTATCTGATCATTCACCAAATTGCTTAATTTTCCATTCAGTCACCGTTTTAACTTTTTTTTAAACTTAACATTTATTTGATCTTCTGTATGCCATGTACCATGCTAGGTACTAGGGAGACAGTAATGGGCAAAACAGCCACATTATCTACCTTTGTGGAATTGGCACTTTTATTGGAGTTGGGTACACAGATATTAATTAAACAATCAGACACAAATATAATTGAAAATTGTGACAAGTCTTGGGAGGGACATCAAAGGGTACTGGGAGACCATAAAAGAAAGACCTGATGTGTGCAGCCTAACGTTTCAGGAAAAAGGGACATTTAAGCTGAGATCGGAAGGAGCAGACACTAAAGAAGAGACAAGGGCTTGTGGCAAGGGCATTACAGGCAGAGCCTGTGAGCTGGGAAGAATTCGGTGGCTGCAGTGGAGAGAAAGGAGAAGGAGTGGCTCCCAAGAAAGCTATAGAAGCAGTCAGGAACCAGATTATGCTGGGCTTTGAAGACATGTTAGGAGTTTGGCTGTCTGATCACGTGGCTTGCAAATGAAAGCACTGTTCTTTCATCACACAAGGCCAATTTACTCTGATCTTCCTTTGCTCTGGCTCACAGCAGTTGTGACAAAGGAGCCAAATTGGTGCTTTCTGGGTGTCGCTATCAGCTTCTGGGCCAGCAAAACATGATAGGTTGCACCATTTATCCTGTGCCCACCCATTCCAACCTTTGAATCACAACTGCATCTTTATAAGTTGCTGTGTAATTTCTCAAATTACAGTTTCTTTGTGGAGGACCTCTAAAGTTTACCTAGCACCTAGGGGTGTTTGTGGGTACAAATGACTGTTGATCCTGTCTCTAAGCAACAAGGAACAGCTTGCCTCTGCAAGCAGCCAGCCCGAAAGCTGCACAACACTGACATCTGCTGTTTGTATGCAGTTTGAGATTGTACCAGGTCAGAAAGAGGCTCCTGAGAGTAGTCCATGTTATAAAATACAGCAAAACTAAATGTTTGAAAATGGGCAAACACACCACACACACACACACGCACACACTCACGCATGCACACACATGCACAGCTCCTCTACAGTCTTTGGTCTTGAACTTCTGGTTTTTCAATAATATACAAGAATAGAAGGCTAATTTCAACATGATGTTTTCTTACTGTCAATATTTGTCAATTGGACAAGGTGTTCACATGATGGAAGATGAAGTTTCTGCCTAGCTTTGGAGGAAAAACAATTGACAAAAACCTAGATCAATGTTTTCACTTAGCAAATATTAATGCAAGGCATAGAAATAAATGAAAAATGGTGTCAACTTTAATCATGAAAGCAGTTTCATAATAGTGATTTTTGTGGATGACATATAATATTTGCATAGTAATTACCATTTCTAAAGCATTTTAAGATGTCTTTTCACATTTCTTCAGTCATTCAACCATTCATTCACTATATAATGAGTGCCCACTTTATGTGAGTGATTAGTCTAGGCTGCAAGGATTCTCTTGGTTTTGTCAGGGTAATTAAGAAAGAGTAAAGTGTAACACTTAACCAAGTATGCATTGGATTCACACTTCGCTGCTCTAAGCATCCATGTCCATGTGTGTTAAATGGCCAGTGATAATAACAATGCCTATCGCATCGAAATGTGAAGATTAAGTGAAAAAAAAATAAATGTGAAACATTCACTACAATGCTTAGTACGTCACAAGGTACATAATTATGAACGATGACTTTAGGTATGCCAGAAATGGTTTTATTCTCAATTTTTAATGTAGGACACAAAGGATTTTCAGCTTGACAATGTTTCATGATGAGAAAGTAAAAAATGGGTATGCAGTTTATGAGTTTATGACTGGGATGTCATGAGGATTAATGGAAAAAGGTAGGTTGAAAAGACTGGAAAGGAGGACGGGGGCCGGGCGCGGTGGCTCACACCTGTAATCTCAGCACTTAGGGAGGCCGAGGCGGGTGGATCACGAGGTCAAGAGATTGAGACCATCCTGGTCAACATGGTGAAACCCTGTCTCTACTAAAAAACACAAAAATTAGCTGGGCATGGTGGTGCATGCCTGTAGTCTCAGCTACTTGGGAGGCTGAGGCAGGAGAATTGCTTGAACCCAGGAGACGGAGGTTGTGGTGAGCTGAGATTGCGCCGTTGCACTCCAGCCTGGGTAACAAGAGCGTCTCAAAAAAAAAAAGAAAAGAAAAAGAAAGGAGGACTGGTTCTATTGTCAAGGAACTCTGGTGTCTAAGATGTTTTGGCTTCGTTGTGTAGAGAGATTTTAAGGGAACGCTATTCTCAGAGTAGTGCTTTAGGAATATAGGTTATTAGGGTTAAATGACAGCAAGGAACAGTGACAGAAAGCAGAACCATCAGTTAGGAAGTTCTTAAATGGCCCTGGTCTGAATTAATTGGGCCTTGGGACAGACCAGAAATGATGGTGGGATGTAGAGTAGTAGGTCGATGAGGATATTACGGACAATGAATCTAGGTGAGATGCTGGCTGTTCCGGTTTTATTGGCCGTTTCATGGGATGGCTACACTGTTGCCGTTGAGATCTCACTTCTTAGAAACACAGAAGAAAATAAATTTTTCCCCTTTTTTCTGGTTTGCTGTTTATATTGTATCGAGATCAAATTCTACCCCAGAAAATTCAGTGTGTCCCAGCAACTCGTTTATATAGCAATCAGTGTGTGTTCCCTTGGCAGGAAACTGCCAGTGGCCATCAGAACAATCACACATTCTTCCATGTGAAAAAAGCAGACAGGACAAACTTTGAAAATTTGATATGATTGGACATATGTCTGGATCTTCTGGATTTAGATATCTGAAGAAAAAACTCTCTAAAAAGTGTTTCTAGAAAGTAAAGAGAATTAGATCTCTAAATGCAGCGAAAGTGAAGAGAAAACAAAGTAAGAAATGGAAACTATTAACCAGCACATGTAATAAATACATATAAAACTATATGATCTATAGCAAATACATGTTCTTTTTTATTATGAAAACATTTGTTGATATTTATCATATTACCATAAAGAAAACCTTAAGAAATCCTAATGCATACAAACCTTAGAACAACTCAAACCCAAGGTTACACATTATTTACAAAAGTATGTAGCTTCATTGTGGATATTTTGGTTATTAAACAAGAAAACTATAAAAAATGAAATAAATTAACTATTTAACTTATGAAACTAAAGATAACACCAAAATAACATCATTAGATAACTAATGATGATGAAAGCTGAATTTAATGAATTAGAAAACAAAGTGCAATAAATAACCAAAACCTTCTTCAGAGCATCAACACTATCCCCTCTTCCCTGAAAGTCTGACAAAGAAGAGACTAGAACAAAGAGAACTACAACTTTAAAAGAAAACAGAAGCTATAAATATAAATGTTAAGAGTTTGGAAAAGCTAGAAGAAATATTACACGAATTAAACCTGTGAAATAAATATACTGAAGGGAAAGTGAATTGGAATTAGTACCAACTCAAAATGTTATAATATTTTTAGAGTATAATTGTCATGTTGATTATTGTGGCTGTGGTGTAATAGGAAGTAAATGATATTTGCAGTCTTAATGTTTGCGTAATCTTGAGAAAACTTTTTTCAGGCTCTGTTTGCTCTTTCATGCTATCTACAGAGTTATTATGAGAACTCAGAGTCACTCACAATTTGACAGTACTTAGAAGAAGGGCTTTAGGCTGACCTGCAGGGTTTGAAACCTGGCTGTGGTCCTTGCTTGCTATGTCATTTTTGAGAATTTCTCTCCTGCTTACCCTGCCTTCCTTTCCCCACTCCATTTCTTTTCTTCCCTTTTCATGCAAATTTTGACAGGAAATACACTCATATGTGTTAAAACCAAATAAATTCATTATAATATTTCAGCGACATGTCTTTGTCTTAACTTTATCATATATCTGCCTAGTTCCCCCTGTGACCCCCACCCCTGTGACATGCACTCATAGGTACCCACCTTAATTAGTTTATTTTTTTTTTCTTGAGACGGACTTTTGCTCTTTCTGCCCAGGCTGAAGTACAATTGCACGATCTTGGCTCACTGCAACCTCCGCCTACCGGGTTCAAGCTATTCTCCTGCCCCAGCCTCCCAAGTAACTGGGATTACAGGCATGCACCACCAAACCTGGCTAATTTTGTATTTTTAGTAGAGATAGGGTTTCTCCATGTTGGTTAGGCTGGTCTCAAACTCTTGACCTCAGGTGATCCACCCACCTCGACCTCCCAAAGAGCTGGGATTACAGGTGTGAGCCACTGCACCTGGCCTGTTAGTTTCTTATGTATATTCCAGACTTACGAAATTCAAGACAAAAAAATGGAAACTTACATTTTACTTAAAAGGTGGCATTTTACATACATTATGTTGCACTTTTCTTTTTTTCCTTAAAAATTTATCCTGAAGACCATTCTCTATGTACACATAGAAGGCTCCTTTATTGTTTTTACTTTTTCCGGTGGTATGGTATGTCTATAAGAATATACTATAATTTATTTAACCTATTTATGAACACAATATTGTTCCTAGTCTTTTCTATTACAAACAGCAGGGAGGTAAATGCCCTTATACATAAGTAATTTTACATATTTTCAAGTATCCATAGGAAAATATCTTAGAAGTGAGATTTTTGAGTTAAAGGATTTATTCATTTGTACTTGGCAGATATGGGTAGTATTTTTACCTTCTCTTAGCTGTAGTTTCCCCATTTATAATTTAGGGATAATGACAAACATACCTCATGAAGTGGTTTTGAGGATCTAATGATGTATCATGTAAAGCACTTAGCATTAAACACATTTTAACTTCTATTAATATCACTATTAGATTATATAATGTCATAAATTACAAAGTGCTAAGCATAGCACTTTAAATATAGAATATTAATGTTATCAAATTCTGTAAGTGCTAACTTGGGGATAGCACATGCAATAATATTTTAATAACTCACCTAATGAGCAGGTAGGAGTTCTTTGCAGTTAGTGTATTTATATATTAGTTTTGCTACTAATTTGTTAAAATGTTCTTTTCCTTTAAACTATGTTAAACACTTTCCCAATTATCCAAATTATGACAAACTGAGTAACAGTTAACTGCTCGAATGGCAAGTTACCCTTCTCTATTAAAATAACTTAAGCAGCATTTTAGCTAAAACGGCCCAAGTTGAAAGTTGTCCAATGGTGTTAAAGGAAAGAATTTAACTGAATATGTTATGAATAATTTTTTTTTTTTAAGATAGAGTTTCGCTCTGTGGCCTAGGCTGGAGGACAGTGGCGCAATCTCAGCTCACCGCAACCACCGTGTCCTGGGTTCAAGCGATTCTCTTGCCTCAGCCTGCCGGATAGCTGTGACTACAGGCGCGTGCCACCTCACCTGGTTAATTTTTGTATTTTTAGTAGAGATGGGGCTCCACAGTGTTACCCAGCATAGTCATGATCTCCAGACCCTGTGATTCACCCACATCAGCCTCCCTAAGTGCTAGAAATACAGGCGTGAGCCACTGTGCCCAGCTATTGGACAATTTTTACATGCATTTGAGGGGCTGGAAGAAATGTACCCTATTCTAAAGAAGACAAATATTCCAACTGGCAAAAAAGCCCAACTCAAAGAATTTAACTCACTCATAACTAAGATTTCTATGAAATATTTTGAAAATTGCTAGAATTCATATGAGCTGTATACCTTACACATTTTAACATCTTTATTCTGTAGGAAGTTTCTATTATATATTCATTATTGTTATATGCATGCAAAGGTTAATATTTGCCCTTTGCTATTTATATGCAGGATAATTTTAGAGGCCACAAGTTAAATAAAATCACACAAAATCAAAATAATATATGTCTAGCTGTAATTAGCACTTTACAAAACTTTCAATTTGGAGACTGAATTTGAATGTCATAAAAAGAAATTATGGCATTCTGAAATATACTATATCAGGACTTAAGAGGTCTCTTTGATATTCAGTTCTGATTGCAAAGAAAGGAAATTAACAATATTGGTAGAGTATGAGGGCATCTTTTGGAGCTCAAGGGCGAGACTCACAGTTGGTTTTCATGAGAGACTGTAAATGGTTTAGTTAGTTCATAGCTCTATTCTACAGATTTGGTGGGTCCTGCTCTCTGCTGCCTTAACCAACTTTTTTTAATCTAATGGGTTTTAACTGGATTGTACTTTGATATAATTGCTACTTCCAAAAGGGTAGCTTCCTAGTTACCTTGAGCTTCTTCTAAAATTTCCAGGAAAAGACTTTTAAAAATTCAGGACAAAACAGAATTGTACAGTGAAAAGAATATTGGACCAGGCAGTAGTCAGTAATCCAGAAGTCTAGCCTATCTCAACCATGCTCTTGCTGTGTGAGTAAGAAGAAACCATATAAGTACTCTTTTATTCTTCTTGGTTCTGCCACATTTGCAAGAACATTCATTCCCCAAATCTATCTCAAATATGCCCGTGCTCTCTCTTCCTAGTACTGGAAGCTTAGATTTGTGTATTGCAATTGCAGCTCATTTCCTCTCTCTAGCCTGAGCTCACTGCTGGAACAGTATAGTCAATAGACAGAATAATAAAATTCAAGCATGTATGCATTTTTAATCCAAATAATAAGCTTTATGATGATACCTTGGATAGAAATGTGTAATATAACAGGAGGAAGATGGTAGGTGGTGAGTTGGAACATTCACTCTTACACATATTGAAGTCAGATTTCTTATGTAAAACCTAGTTGACTTTTCTAAGACTCAGCCAGGAGGTCTTGGCTACAGCTATAGATTTGGAAATCAACAGAATGAAAGTGGTGGTAAATCCACAGGAGTGAATCAAATACCCAGGGAAAGTATATACTGAGAGGAGAAAATTCAAGCGAATAATTTGGTAAGTGTGTTATACATTCCATCCCCTCCCTGCCTCACCAGGACCCCCTCAAAAAGCTTCAGTCAAACAAACAAAAACAGAGCATAGGACCATTGTTTCCATGCAGTTAGTGTATTCTGGGAAGCGTTCTCAAAGAACAAGAGTATGGCATTGTTGGAGTGGAAGGAAAGGAGGAAAAGCTAAGTAAAGGTGATTGGCAAGCTGTTCACTGTTGTGAGTAACTGGAGTGGATTCCTTAGAGATCCACAGAGGAGCCATGAGGAGTGCACCCCAGAGGGGAGGTGTATCTTCCCAGCAGCTTCTGTCCCCCACTGGATAAGGGTGGCCCTGTGGGGTGTCAACTCCCTCATACTTTAAGGTTTTCTAAAGTCAGAATGACTCTGCAAGTTTCCTGCAGACATCCTATACAATGATGGCAGAGGACCTTGGACTTCTCTTTCATTTGTCCATTCATTCTCGTCATTGTTTTTCATTGAATATATGCTCATTTTAAATGTCTGGCCAGACACTAGAAAGTGGTTAAAGTTTTCTTTGATATCCAATAAGGATGGGTCAACACAGGCATGGAGTAATCAGGAGGAGGTGGAAGAGGCAGAGAGCATCACATCTGTGGTCATTAACCCAACTTTTATAGCCACATATACGCTGAATCTCCTTTCCATTTAACCATCCACTCTTAATTACTTTCAGCTATTCCTGTTGAGGTCGGAGGAGGGGGTTGGAGGGGTGAATTTTAAAAGGGTTTTGGCTATTACCAGCTGTTTTCTAGGAGTGATTAACAAGTCTCTTCCATTTTTGTTATAGTTTGCCTCTGTGTTCCCTGGACACCACCATTCCAGTGCAAGATTTCCGGGGTTGAATTCATGTAAGTAAAAAGAATATGTGCTGCAACTCACTGGAGTAGCTATTATTTATTGGCGTTTTGCTATGTGTTAGGCTATTGTTACTCTTGTTGTAAGTGCCTTACTTGGAACATTTCATTTACGTCTTTTTTTTTTTTTTTTTTTTTGAGATGGAGTTTCGTTCTTGTTACCCAGGCTGGAGTGCAATGGCGAGATCTCGGCTCACTGCAACCTCCGCCTCCTGGGTTCAGCCAATTCTCCTGCCTCAGCCTCCTGAGTATCTGGGATTACAGGCACGCACCACCATGCCCAGCTAATTTTTTGTATTTTTAGTAGAGATGGGGTTTCACCATGTTGACCAGGACGGTCTCGATCTCTTGACCTCGTGATCCACCCACCTCGGACTCCCAAAGTGCTGGGATTACAGGCGTGAGCCACCGCACTGGCCCCATTTACTTCTTTACAGTAAACCCATGAAGAAGGTCAATTTGCTGAACCTGCCCACAGCCTCTGTAAGGATATGCAGGATAAACTTCATGCTCAACCCTTCACCAGAAAAGATTTGATCAAGGTCCAGATTATCTGTCCCAGTAATTGAACTAGGGGAATTAGAGACAATTCTCATAGAAGGAGAGTCAGGGCAGCAAAGCCTGTAGATTCAGGTCAGTGGCTGGTGGCAAGGTCAGGCCATTTTTAAGAAAGGGCTGGTGGGTGAGAGAGGAGACCAAGGAGCAGAAATGGGAGAGGCCACCCTGAGAGATGGAGGGAGATTCTTCTATTACTGAGAATCTTCATGTCTTTAAAACCTGTATTTCCCTATGGCTTTTGTGTTCCAAATGGTTCTTTTGCATACGTTCCGTCTTTCATTGGAGCTAGCTTGAGAGACATTCTGTTCTTTCCAGCCTTGATTAGAACCCAAGCCTGTACTATTGGAACTCCAACAGCATTCATAAATGTTTAATCTATATTGTCAGCAGAGAGATATCTTTGTCTAATGGTAAAGGCTAATAGTTAGAGATAAGGTGATGTCCTTTAGTTACACTACTACCATTTATTTACCATGTGTCTTTGGGCAAAAACACCCTTTGGGTCTCAGTTTCCTGATCTGTAAAGCAGGGATAATATTGCTTGCCGTATCTCTTTCATACAAAGAGGATACATAAAACTAATACAAATTAAAGTGACTTAAAAGTTTATAAAACAATATATAAATGCAAATCATCATTATTGTATTTGGCCAAAATAAAAATATATTCATCTTATAGCCTTTCACAGTCATAACAGTTCTAAGAGCTGATCTAACACTTCAGTTTCAGCAAAAGTTCTCAGAAGTGCTCTGACTGGCATGGGACCAAGAGGCCACATGCAGGTTTGTACATTTTTGCAACCTATGCCTTGTCTCTCAAACTAGATGTTAAGGTCACCAAGGGCAGAAACTCTATATGTATGTGTGTTTGTTTCCTTCTCAGAATCAAGCACAATGCAGATGCTTATAAATATGTGTTGAGGGAATATTTGGATTAAAAAAAGATGGGTAGGTGTTATCGTAGGAAACTTTATCATCCGTGGAAATTCAAGGTGAATTTAATTTCTCTGGTTATTATTCTTATTCTAAGGAAACAGTAGAAAAAACAGTCTGAGTAGGTGTACCTGCCATATGCATGCATATGTATTTCATAGATGCTTTTTCACTGAAGCAATGCAAATAAAATCAGTATTACTAATCCTTCCAGCTGGGTGAGAGATTATCTTAAAGTCTGAACATTCATATGTTCACTGGTATGAATACTTTTAGGATACCCTGCACAAGACTGCTCAGTAGAAAAAATTTTCAAGAGCCTTCTTGGACGGAAGGTGTTCACTTTATTGAGATTTCAATATTTGGAAAGTTATAAACGTAATGTTATATGAGTCAAACAAACAGAAATCTTAACACAAAAGTGCCCCAAATCTTCATCTGTCCCTTAATGAAAATGGATAAATTGTGCAGACATGAGTTTTCTGTCACTAGAGATGTTTGAGCTGTGGCTGAACAATTATCTAGCAGAGATAGTTAATGCTTGGGGGAGGAGCAGAAGATGGTCTTGATTCCTATTGAAGGTCAAGACCATCTTAGATTCTGCAATCAGATCGCATTTACTAGAGACTTACTATAATACTTGTTGGAAATAATGCTGAGCCTGGAAGAAGTCTGTAATCTAGAAGAGAGTCAGCAAACTATGGTTATGGGTCCCATCTGGCCTCTCAGCTGATTTTGCAAATGAAGTTTTATTAGAATGCAACCGTGCCCATTCATTTAGTTATTGTCTGGGGCTGCTTTTGCTCTACAGCAGCAGAATTGATTAGTTATGACAGAGACATTTGATCTGCAAAGCCTGAAATATTTACTATCCGACCCTTTATAGAAAAAGTTCGCCAATTTCTATAAGAAGTAGATGGCAAAGTTTACTATATACTTCTCAGAGAGTGCATCCTTATCTACTGGGGTTATAAGGTAGATTTGAACCTCTGTATGTATTTATTTTTATTACATTTATTTTTAATAAAATTTATTTTTAACTTTAATTCCATGCACTGATTTCTTCATTTCTAGGGTGGGGATATTATGATACTTTATCTTAGCCAAAAAGCACAGAAGCAGTGATAGAGTGATGATATTATTAATACTTCACTGAGCGGTTGTGAAGATTAAAAGTGAATATTTTGCACACTGTGAACCTGAACTCCTAACCACTACACTGAACTGCGCTGGAACCGTATAGAAGGAGATGGGAGTGGATGAGGGCCAGGGATGTCAGGGAAGTTTTGTCATGGAGGGTGTGACTAGAATCATATTTTTGAAGAGAGGGTGAGCACTGAGATGGTAGTGAAGATACTGTTATCGCAGTTACAGGGAGGCCGGCTAAGCTGATCTCTGATCTTCCCAGCAAGGAAGTCCTCACCCATTGCCCAACATCTCTGCCATGTTTCAAAAGGCCAGAGAGAATTTTGCCTGCTAATTATTCACTTGACCCAGAGAAGTAAGTCCTCTGTAATTTCAATCTGTGCTTTCTATTACTAAGATAAACTAGTAATGATTTGCCAATAAGATGCAATTACAGTGCCTGCTGAGGTCAATATTCAATCAGTGGTTCCATTCTGAGTGCTGCTTTGATCAGTTGGTCAAAAAATTTTCTTTCTTTAGATGCTTTGTAAACTATGATTGATTGGGAGGTTTAGGGGTTTCAGATTGGAATGTGGTTTCATTTTTAATCCAACTTGTGAGCCGCAGTTCAAACTCTGGTCAAATGTGATAGTCTTTCTTGGGAAGCTCCTGCCCACTCTGAGACCAGAGTGGGTACTTCTTCCTATCCCTCCCACCATCTCCTCCTCTTCCTCCAATACAGGTCAGACTCTAAAGAATAGCAAATAAAGTAGACTATTCTGAAGGTTTTATAGAAAGATCAGCAGGTCATGTTGATCACTCTCCAGCAAAATCAACATTTTTTTTGTTTTTCAATTATTTTTTAGTTTCTCCTTATCTGCTTCGTTGTTTTTTTCTCCTTTCTCTTTTCCCCATACAGCCTTTTAGACTTTTCTGTATACATTAGAATGATTCAATGTCTCCTTCACTTTGGAAATCTTACTCTGAATAACAAAGTCCTTGTGCATAACTGAACAAGGCCATTGACTGTTCCTCAGACACACTTTTGGAAGCACCAGCCCAGATCACCACACCAGGAAATCTGCTGGTTTATAGGAATATACCAAATTTGAAGAAGAATAAATCTAAGTAACATTTTGGTACTTCATCCCAGAAATCCAAAATAATGGTACCTCATTGCATCTTGGTATTCTACTGGGTCATAATTAAAGTAGAATGCCTGATAGTTTGTGGGCTCTGCTTTATCTCACTCCCTCCTCTGATATGCCTAACTTATCTGAAAGTCTAATTTTAGTTCAAGGGGAGAATTTCATCTTTGTTTTGATATGGATTCACATTTACTTAGAATTTATAATCAGAGGCTTCAAGTAGCTGGTGGTAGCTCTTCTGCGTAGCTCAGATTGTATTACTTTATGTATAAAATTTAAATCTTTAATCCTTCTGGATTTTACTTTGATAATGTGGCAACATATCTTAAATTTAAGATACATCCATAGCTCTTGGCACAGAAATCTTTCTTACAGGAATCTCCTCTAATGAAACAAAGGCTGGACTTTAATAAATAATAGTGTTTATCACATTATTTGTCAAAGCAAAAACAAAACAAAGCACACGGATGTTCATTAATGAGGGAGACACTGAATAAAATCTGGAATAATCCTCTTATGGAAAATTAAATGTTTCCTAAAATGGATAAGTTAAGTCTCTGTTGACCCAGGGGACTGTTGATAATGTGTTAACATGTGAGAAAGGCATAAAATGACAATAACAACTCCAAACGCCTTATATCAATGTTTATTTTTTAAATGTAAAAAGATGTGGCTGGGTGCAGTGGCTCACACCTGTAATCCCAGCACTTTGGGAAGCTGAGGCGGGCAGATTACTTGAGGTTAGGAGTTTAAGACCAGCCTGGCCAACATGGTGAAACCCGGTCCCCACTAAAAACACAAAAATTATTCAGGCATGGTGGCAGGCACCTGTAATCCTAGCTACTAGGGAGGCTGAGGCAAGAGAATCCCTTGAACCCAGGGGACAGAAGTTGCAGTGAGCCGAGATCATGTCACTGCACTCCAGCCTGGGTAACAGAGTAAAAGTCTCTCTCAAAAAAAAAAAAAAAAATGGTATAACTAGAAAGACACCAGACTGGTATATTATTTACTATTGTGGGGGATAGAAGTATGATTAACATTTTCTTTACATGGTTTTATATTATTTCACTGGTTTCAAGGATTGTGGTAGACACATGCCAGTTTTGTAACTTGACAAAAGATTTCATCTGACAAAAAGATTTTTAAAAATAAAACAAGTAGACAAGTAAAACTGTTATTTCTCTATTTGAAAACTGTGGTGTTAATATTTTGGGAGCTGCACACACGTAAAGAGAACAGTATATTGTAGTGTTCTGCTCATAGTCAATTTGGGCGACAGCTGGTGAGATAAAGGCCCCCTTGCACTCATTTCCCTGGTGGCTCACCTTTCACTTACCCACTGAGGGTTAAGATAGATAGCTCTAACCAAACAGTTTCATAGCAAATTAGATATAGTTAGAGGCATTGCCTTAATAACAGGAATATGCTACATATTAAATAGGCATCTTGGAAAGCATGAGTTCATTTTTAGAATCTATTAATAATCAATGTTAATCTATTATCTTCAGGTAAGTAATCACTTATACACATGTTCTCTTATTTAATCCTCAAAACAGAGGCTCAGAGGGAGTGCCTAACTTGCCCAAGGTCACATTGTTGGTGAGTGACAGAATCAGGACCACAGTCACTCTTTTTAGATGAACAACCTAAAGTATTTTAACACAGAGTTAAAGAAATAATCACTGACTGAATTAATGATTCTACCAACTAGACCCAGTGGACAACTAGCTTAACCAATATCTACCCCATATAAGCCAAGGAGACTTCTTTTATCTGAGACTTCTCAGATAAACTAATAGGAAGTCCAACTGTTAGTTGAACTTAGTCAATCATGGAACTCTGTTGAAGACCATTTCAGGGGAATAGGTTCCAAACCACATGCTTTGGGAAAAGCTGCTCCAGCTAGAGTCAGACTCTTGTACCAGCTACTCTCTTCCTCCCTCTCTCCTTCAATTCTAGAGACCTTGCTTAGCTCCTGTAACAGGAAGCACTTAAATAGAGCTTCTTGTTCTCTTTTGGGTGCGCAAGTTATTAATCAACTTTAGTTGTAAAGAAATGAGCATTGCCAACTGTCCTTTGTGCTTGCGATCTGGTGTTCTTTTGTCAAAAAGCACTGAGGCCTATTGTTCTAACCCTTATCATGTTCACATTGAATTCTTGATGACAAAATGTATTTGTTGTCTTCCATCCAGATTTTAAGTTCTGTCACTGGGGTTTTGGGCAGTTGCCATTCTGAGGAGGAGCTGAAGAGCACTGCTCTGCCAAAGGTATGCTTGAACAAGGCAGCTAAACATGGCCAGACCTGTCTGGTTGCATGGTTTGAGCACACATGCAAATCATGGTTGTTGTAGAAATTGTTTACTGCCTCAATGTTAATTTTCTCCCTATAGAAAAAGAAGCTGGGAGATGAATCACTGAGTGGTTACCCAGAACAGAGAATGTTGTCTGCATTCATCTATCTTCCATTCAATCTCCCTTCAGAAAGACTATTATGGGTGAGCTTCACTCTTTTGACTGCAAGTATCACCAGTGACAGCTTTGCAAGTGGCCTTAACAGGTTGTCAGGAAACTAATCGATGTAGCTTTTCACAAAGGAATCGGCTTGATCAATATCACCACGGAAGCCCAGACCTAACAAACAGATCACATCAGAGTTTTCATGATCAATAGAAGTTACACAGACAGTAAATTATTGGGTATATTTCAATGAACGTATTCTAAATGCTTCCTGCTGATAGCTCTTTCTCTGGGAGCTACAGCAATATACCAAAAGTGATAGAAGAGACAGTGTGTGCCCTGTCAGACAGACCCCTAGGGACATGTTCTCAACATGGAACATACATACACAATTAGTTGAGAAGATATAACTCTGGTTTTGAAGGAAAACTGGTTCTAATATTTGTCACCCTACCACCAAGTAGATAATAAATTCTTGATGATTGGGATTATTTTGGTATCCCAGTATCATGGATATAGGCATGTAATAGGCATATTAGTTATACTCTTGATGAACTGACCATTATTCCCAACACTTCTCAGAAACTATTGCTACTTCTATGTCATCCCTGCCATTTTCACCCTCTGCCTTTTCCCCCACTATCCTTGGGGAAACCCCCATTCTAAATGTAAACTTTCCTAATGCATAGTCTGGAAGCATGACATTAGGAAATGCTGAAATCTCTGGAAATAAAATTTAAGGCATAGCTGTGCCATAATAATATATTGAGACATTACCCAACTTTTCTCTTCCTGGTATTTATGTCTCTATCAGGTATCTTGCTTCATAAAAAAATGGTGCAACAACTTTGTGGCTTAAGTAACTGTAATTTGGTTTGCTCATAATCCTGTGAGTAAGCATTATATGCTGGGCTCAGAAATGGGTTTTCCTGCTGGTCTTGCGTGGAGTGGCTCATGGGTCTTCAGTGATTTTGTGGCTTAATTGGGTTGAAGTTCAAGATGACCTCACCCCATGCCAGGCAGTTGGTGCTGGTCATCAGCTGAGTTTCTCTCTTTGTGCATTCTCTCTTCTCCAGGAAGACTAGCTTGGCTTCTTTCACATCATGGCACTGCATGCCAAGAGAAAGAAAGTGAAAGCGGAAAGGACTTTGGAGGTTTAGACTTGAGAATCACACGATATCAATTCCTCTACATTCTGTTGGTCACAGTAAAACACAGAGTCAGCCCAGATTCAAAAGGGGTTGAGAAATAGATTCTACCTCTTGTTGGGGGAGCAGCAAAGTCACATTCCAAAGGGACAGGATAAAGGGATGGAAGGGTTTATTGTGGCCCTCTTCACAAAACGTATCTACCACAATTTTCCTGTATTGTCCCCCTATCCAACCTAAACTCATCATCTCACTTCATTTGAGAAGCTAGGTTTTCTCTGCTTCAAAAGGATCCATAGAAGAGAAGAAATGAAAGAGTGGAAAGCAGAGAAGAAAAGTAAGTGTCTTCCAGGTTTTTGTTTTAAAGGACTAAACCTTTAGGATGTGGGAGAAACAATGCAAAGACAAAAATGTCAGGAAGAAGTGTACTGCGTCAGCTTCTCCATAGATTAGGTAAAATTTCCTTGGTCTGGGAATGGAGATGAGGATCAGGGAGGACAGAGATGGGAGGATATGGATAACTCAAGGAGGGGCCTGAAACAGGCTTGCAGAGATGACATGCTCCAATATCATGGAAGAAGCAAAATAAATCTCACAATATTAAGCATGTCTCAAGTAGCCTGAGAGACACCCATCCTGAAGGAGGCATGAGTCAAAGGGAAAATCAAGACCTACGTGGAACAGTGGCCGAAAAGTGGAAGGTGGCTGGTGTCTCAAAGGATTCCTGCATGAACAGAAAACACAGGACTAGATGCCTCTCTTTCCTCTTAATTCCATGCTCTCAATAGCTTCAAACGACTTACTCCCAGTCAACCCCTCAAATCTTCCCTAGGTTAAGGAGAAGAGGAAGAGTCAAGATGATGGAAATTATATTCCCACTGCCTGAGTGAGTCTGGGGTTGAATGTCTGCATATTTTGGAGAATTTTATGATCAGATCTCTTGAAGCTGTGCTGTCAGAGCAAGCATGATCTCAGTCAAATTCTGGGTAAACACCACTAAGGAGAACTCCTTTTTGAAGGGAACTCTTGGTCTTCTGAGAACTAAGAATGAGTGATATTCTTTTTTTCTTCCCATTTAAGTGAAGAAAAGACCCATAATTTGGGTCCCAGAACCCAAACATAAATTTTCCCTGCACATGATGATGAAGCAGAGAGTTTATCTTGTGACATCTGATCCCACAGTTCAGTTCAATATACTTTGTCCATACTCAACATTCTTAAATTAATAAAAATATATTTTTGAGCACCTATTATGGGCCACGTGCTGTGGAAGATACAATGGTGAGCAAAAAGAGACTTTGTCCTTGCCCTTTTGGAGCTTAGAAGGTCCAAGAAATACCCCTCAATGGAATCTCTTTATAGGTTACATAGTTGAGGAGACAGATATATATGATCCTAAGTGATTCTGTGCAACTCCTGGGAAGGAGGCAACATGGATGGCATCTTTAAAACTCTCCTGACAGTGATCTTCCCTGGGACAAGCCAGATCAAACTGACTCAGCTCTGGCAAATATTTTCTATATATAGCCAAAAAGAAAACCAGTAATTACTGTGACTTACCATGGTTAAACACTGTGCTGTAGGATTTACCTATATAATATCCCTTAGTCTCTTCAACATATCTGACTTTGCAGTGTCTTCCAATTCTGTGCCCCTTCTGCAAGAGTCCACTTGGAAATTACTCAATGTAATGAACATTTCTTTTCTTCCTTTCATCTTAGAATAAACAAACACAACTTTCCTACTTGTTAACATTTCTTAATGTATTGTCTCCTAGGCGTGATAAAAGCTCATCTGATAAACTAAGACGATGTCACAATAGATAGTTATGACCCCATGATGAAAATAATTATGCTTTTATACTCTGTAGGAAATTAAGGCATGAATACCATTAATAATAATCCAAGAACAGAAACAAGAATATTACAGAGATTTGGGAATTTAGTATCAATTTATCAGTATATTTGTATGACCCCTGTTTAGCCATATCCCAAGTAAGATGAGAAATTATAACTTTACTTTCTTCTTTAGCTTTGAGAGAAACCTAGCAGTTGGCTGGAGAAAAAGTATACACCAGCATTTATGAATGAGCACACAGCTCTCTCTCATTGATCATTTCTCCTCTAGCATCCTCTGAGAGACATACATATATACTTCTGGGGACAAAAATCTTTCCTCTGACAGTGAACAATCTGTAGTTACATCCGGTTAAGCCTAGCCAGACTCAAAGATTGGTCAGACGTCAGATAAGAGCTTGGAGGGCAACTTGAAATTTCTCAGGGATGTAAAATATCCTTTAGATCTCAAACAACTCAAAAAAAAAAAAAACAAAAGGAAAAAAAATCCATTAATCTGTTTGCCTGCCATCAGAAAAGCAATCTTTGAAAGTTTACAATAGTTTGATTTTTTTCAAATAGTAAATCAAGAAAAGAAGTCCTTGAAAGCGCCAGTTTAAAAATTTGTTTGCCATTAACCTGAGGGTGAGCCCCTGGGGAGGGGGGAGGTTTCTGCTGCTGAAATTCTTTGGGTTTTTATATCTATTGGCATTGGACAACTAAATGAAGTTAATGGCTAACACCGAGGTTGGCAATGAGAAAGCAATGCTCTTGTGAGGGTTTAGTTCCACACTGAAACATGCTGAAACCGTTTCAAGGTGTCAACAACATTTGAATATTTCTAGGACATTAATTACCTTGAAATATTGATAAGCTGAACTCCTCTACCTGCATATCATATGGAAGAATTCTGTTCTGAAAGAAATCAAGGCCTATGTCTATTGATTGGCTGACTGGCCAGAATCAAGGCTACTGCTGAATCTCAGGCTGCAAAGGCTTCTAGTGACACATGCATAGGTTTGAATTCCAGCTTCACCTCTTTCTTTTTTGATATTTAAAAAATTACTTACCCTTTCTGATCCAGTTTGTTTTGCTCTGGAAGGTGAAAAAAATAATAACGATCACTTCATAAAATGGTTGTGAGAATCAGATTGCCTTCCTTAAATGGAGTAATATCATAAAATGGTGAAATATAAGTTTTCTCTGTCATCTTCATACAGAAAGATTTTTGGCAACAATTCATGGACAAGAGCGCATTTGTGGGTGTATAGAAGTCCGGTGGAAAAGTTTAGCACACTATTAAAGCAACAAACTTCAAGAATAGATATATTAAAGAACATAAGAAGAAGAGTTTTACTTTATCTGTATCACCTCTCTCTCAAGGCGGCACAGATGACTGTGAAGAGAGACTCCCTTGGCCTGCTGTTTTTCCCAGGGAGAAAAGTTAGAATGCAGTGAGTAAGAATCTAGCTTTTTCAGCTCTGCAGGACACTGCCCCCAAAGACCATTTATTTCTTGTCCTGCCCAGAATACTGAAGGGACTGGCATGGCAGAGTGATTTAGAGAGGTTAGCAATAGGGAAGAGAGGCTGGTTCTCAATGCAGCCAGGACTCAGAAGTCAACAAAGGTCTGTGGATCACAAACTCCATGAGGAAGCTTCCGCACAAGTCTCTTGGAATGTCTTGCTGGCCAACGCCATCAACTGGCCCACAAAGACTCCCAATGCTCCATGTGTCTCACACATGGCTTCCCCTGTGGCCAGCTCACTGAATGCACCCCTACAGATAGCAAGCATGAGCTTTTTCAGATAGCTTGTTAAAGCAATCTTGTGCATAAATAACAAAGCTGGAGTCATCACACATCCTGATTTCAAATTATATTACAAACCTATAGTAATCAAAATACTATAAAACTGGCATGACAAAGGAAACCAGACCAATAGAACAAAATAGAGAACCTAAAAATAAGCCCAGGCATATATAATCAATTAATCTTTGAGAAAGCACCAAAGATACACAGTGGGAAAACAATAGTCTGTACAATGTTGTTGGGAAA